GTTTGAGGAAGGCTGGCTTGATGGATGTAATCCTTTGCGTATTTCCACAACAGAGGCTAAATGAAACAGACTGACAGGAGGAGGCTTGAGAATTAGGAGTGGTTTTGTCTCCTTTTCTCTGAGAGCAGCAGTGTTGGTGTTGTCTTCTCAGATGCCTTCTTCCCTGTTGTTTTCCGATGATTTCCTTTTTTGGTCTGTTGTTACGACTGCTGCCTTTGGCCTGTGGTCTGCCTGGACTGTCTGAGTAAACCCTGAAAGCTGAGCCAGGGACAGAAAGTGTGGATCTGAAAACCCAGACAGGCTGCTTCAATATGACGAGGTGCTTGATGCAGGTGTCACACATTAGCCTTGAAGTTGTAACAGAGGCCATGTAAGGAGGTCTCAAGCAGTGTTTACAGACAAGGATCAGTGGTAGCACAATTTAAGGTAGGCTACTGTGTGTTCTTAAACAGAGTTCCACATGGCATATGAACTTTAATAGGGTTCTCTTCCATATTCTCATCACATAAAGTTGCATTTTAACCATTCTCTGTGTCCTCCTGGTGGCAGTATTAATCAGATCATAATATACTGTTCAGAAATTTCCCCACTGTGGGATCAATAAGGTATCAACCTCCTCTACTCTACTGTTGAAAATTTTTATATACATTTTAGTGCCATCACATTTCATGGATTGCCCGCCATTTCTCTACAAAATTCTTTGGAATTCATTAATCTCCAGTTTAAGACACTGACCCAAATGTTTAGATTCACAAAATAATCTTAACTTAAGGTCCTCTCAGTAGATTTTTGCAGAGCTGTCATCCACAGTTCACAGTTTTCATTATGGAGTTTGTTTGCAAAGTTCTTCAGTTAAAGGTGCATTATAATGCATGTCTAAGGAACATATGTGAGCTTTGTTTGTTTGTTTAGAATGTGGCTCTACAGAGTGAGATAGTGTGTTTATTTCTTATTATATTTAGCTTGTCTTTACTGAGACCTCTTTTTGCCTAATTGGGCACATCCAAACTTTGCCTAACCTGTGTCTGGTTTTACCGTATGTGAAAACTAATTTATTTGTTTCTTTGTGTTTTTTTACTGGACTGAGCCAAGAACTGCCATGTAGTTTCTTCACTTTGTGTTTGTGTGTGTGTGTGTGTGTGTGTGTGTATCCATGTATGCCTGCATGCATGCACATGTACTTGCTGCAGCGGGCGTGTGGTCAGTCTATGGTTGCGGCAGTGGGAGGCACAGCATGGCAGGCTGATAACAGAGTCTGAAGGGACGACACATCCACCACCACTATTTTTACTGGGCCCAAAAGAGGAGTAAGGCCTGTTGCAACACAAACACACAGAGGCAGTTAAATGCCTTACTAGAAAACAAGCCATTCAAATAGGTTTGGACATTGTTCATATTTTGCTGTGGTGTGCCATAGTGTTTTGCTACATAAAGTTGCAACCCAAAGCTCTAGAGGGCTATTGAGCTACAGGTTACCATAGTTATGCAGTAGAAAATATATCTTGGACTTGGAACTACACTAATATACTACACTCATGTAGTATATTAATAATGGACCAAACTAATGTGAAAGATGTTGCTCATAACAACAAACCCACAGAGAATTGTCACCTGCCCCTGCAATGTCCCACACCTCTACCTGGCATCTTTGGTTCGGTGTTTTGTGGGATCCACACCACCCAGCTCACACTCTGCTCAGACACAAAAACTGCACCTGCAGCCTCAGGCACAGCAGGGCAGACAGTATCATAACACACAGACCAAGACTTTACAACAGCTTTTTCCCTGCCGCAGTAAAACTGATGGCAAATACAAAAATGTGAGAAATGTGAGAATATATGTGCAATAACCCCTCATCAAGACCTCATCAAGTGTAATGCCACATCCAACTCCACCATGTGAATTACTAAGTGCAATGTTTGAAGTTCACTGTGGTAAAACTATTATCTTATTTTTGTGTATTCTGTTTTAATACTTTGTCATCCTTATGTAACTTTTTTTTTTTTATTTAAAAAGTGTTCTTTCTGGCTTTTGACACCTTACCTGACTCCAAAGGAGAGCTACACAAGAATTCCTATATGCCTAGACTGTCTGTTTATGCATAAATGGAAAATAAAATCTTGAACTTGAACTTATGGCCTACTGTAAAACTTAAATGTGTCTCCATACATTTTTGCAAATAATGAATGTTTCCAAACTGCTGAATTTTTAACGCCTGTATTTTTAGCCATGAAAATAATGAGTCTCCAAATGTCTTAATTTGTTTGTCTTTAATTATGTAAGTTCCATAATTAAATCAATTAGTAATTAGTTTTTAATGCTTTTATACATTCAGTTTACATTTAATTACAATATTGTATCAATTAAGTTCTCAAATTTTGTCATTGAAACTGATACTAAATTTATATTGAGAAGATTTACTATGGAACAATATTTTAAGTGTGGGCTACCATTTAGTTTGCTCTTGTGCACATGCATAAGGACACACATGTATGTGCACTAGGGTGACATAATATATGTTTCACACCATTCCATTGGTCAGTTGGAAACCTAGCAAAGTGCAAGCAAAGGCAGCGAAGAAGAAAATGTGTTTACAATAAATGTGGCTTTCAACAATGCAGGTTTTAAACTTTAAGGAGATGTCAACTTTTTTAATGTTATATGATAAAGGAAATACATTTTACCATGTTTGTTAGACCTCAAGTATACATACATATAGTGTGTTTTGATGAGAAACGGTTGTAAACAGAAATGCTTACAAGTTTACAGGACACCTTTTAAATGTCTTATTCTGGTGTATAGTAGTTCATTTTGAGGGATTAATCATTGTAATGATACTTTTCATACAGGTAGTTGTAGTGTTAATTGAAACGTGATGCCGTTTAGTGATGATCAAAACAAATGCAAAAAGAAAACAAGTCCACATTAAAGGGGGAGTCAGCAATGTTGGAGAAGGATTGATGATATTTCATGTCAACGGCCAAACAAATATACCCCTCCCTTAACTCTGCCTTCAAAAGTTCTGTCCCCAGATTCATAAATGTGTATTGCCAAGGCAGCAACACTAAACTGGCCTAGCTGACCAAAAGAGAAGTAAAACAAATGTTATAATTCTAAAACAGCATCAAATGGACAGCATGCAAGCACACAAATATGGCAGAATGAATAGCTAGCAGCTCTTGAGCAGATATTTGCTGAATTTGACAAAAAGCACCTTTAAGACAGTTTAAGGGAAAAACCTTGAAATTGAATTAACAAAAATGAGCCTGCACTTCTCTTTTATTTTCTCATTTATTTGAGCTTGATCCAATCCCAGCATCTCCTCCCACATGGGGCTGTAGTTCTGCACTCTATCTTTGGGAGGAGGATCAGGGAGGTTGCATTTTCTATAAATATTCCAGTTTTCTCAATATGGGGCTGGATTGAGCTGGTTGAGCCTCCCATGCAGGGACTTCCCAACTTGGTGGATGAGGTATAGCTGTGGAGAGCAGAGAGGGAATAAAGGCATATGACTCTCTCACTGCAGCCAGTGCTGGTATTGGGGCTCCTGCTGAGAAAACATTTTAACGGGCCTCCCTGAGTCGACCGGATTCATAATGTGATAGCAGCAAAATCCTCTTTGATTTGTTTCAACAGAAGCAGCTAACTTAGACTGTTTTGAGAATGCCCACACCATGTCTAACATGTCTGCTGTTGAGTTTAATGCCAGCTCACATAATTTGTTGACCACCAAGTCAAAATTGAATGTGATTAAGATGTTTTTTGTATCTTCACATTTTGTTTCTGTTTGTATTCAGTCTTGTTGGAGTTTGTATCATGACTTTACCCTGTCCTTGACATAATGATGTTTGGTTAGTTGTATACCAGCAAGTTAAAGAGAACAGAATGTAGTGTGTTTTGCGGATTTAAGGCTTGTCAGACTTATTGCCAGTCCAACAAATCTGTCCTGCACTCCACCAAAACAGAAGTGATCTCACAGTTCCAACGTAGGTAATAAAGATAATTCTAGTGTGGTAGCACTGTATTGAACAAACAGGATGTTAGGCCACTGCTAGAATCATTTACTGCTCCCTTGACAAATGTAAGATGGATCAGGAGTTCACTGTGTCTATTGGTCACACCTATAAATTTCCTGAATGAAGTGCTCCACAGGTAAGCTGTTTTTTGTTGTTGTTTTTTTTGATAGTGGAACCACTTGGAGTGGCTCAAGATTTGGTTTGGGAATTCGGCTTTTTGTGGAATAGCCCTTAGAGAGTGATAGTGTGCAAGCTGTTTGTGTGAGCCAGTGGGTATGGCATAGGTGTGGAGACTGCAGGAGAAGAGAGGGGGAAGGCCAGGACTCGGTGGCCAGGCTTGGTGCTACATGGTCAGCCTGGTTTTTCCCCACGTCGCCTTCCCTGCACAGCATAATGAATGGTTTCCTACTGGTCTGTGGCCATGGCCCCGGCTTAAAAAGTACTTACCAAGGCCAAGAATACACACCCCAGCCACCCTGTGTCCTGCCTCTGACCACTCACAACCACCAGTCCACCTGCTACAAACTTGCTCAGTCTCACACTGTCACATCAACCACAATGAAACAAATTACTTGATATTCAATAGGAAACAGTTTGAGATTTTATGTTACACTTTTTCACTACACACTGTATAGCTACTGCACATCTACTCCTTTCATTCACTTGAACTGATGTGAATCTTTGTCAGCTTGACATAAACAGGGAATCGCACACATGCATGAGAGATCTTAGTCTGTCATCACATTATGAAGATGATTAATAGACAAAAAAAAGTACCATTCAAGCACTTTCTGTACCCACCTGATACACATCTGTTAATGTATTTCAAGTCTTTGTTTCAACATCTGTAGCTGGTGAATCCAGAAAATGTCTGTTTTTAAAAAGTGACAGTACAAGTAACATTTAGGCTGGTTTGATCCGGCTCATGGATCAATGATCCTCACATGTATAAAAGTTTAAGTATGTGTGTATTTGTGTGTACAGGTGCTGTTTCTGCTGCGCTCCTACCAAGCCGACTCACACAGACCCCTGCCAGCAGGAAATGGCATCGGAGAAGCCCTCCGTCGGCGCATGTGGCTTGCTTCTCGGTAATCCTAGACACACAGATAAGAATCCCACCCCATTTTCCAACTCCCTCAGCAGAAAAAAATTAGCTCCTTGTCTCACAGCTCACCCCTTTCCCTGGCCATGTCCGCTGCATGTCCTGCCCAGGCTTCCATTTCAAAAGGACCGCTTGCTGCCCCATCATGCTGACTTCCCACCCTCCCTCCTCCCTCTACTTCTGCCCCTCTCACCCAAGAGTCAAGGCCTCGGCACAGATTACTCTTTTGCTCCCCACCTGCCTGGCTAAGGGTCAGGCTGGGGCCTCCAGTCTCTACTGTGCTCAGGCCTAAAGCAGATAACACAGTGTGTGTGTGTGTGTTATTAATATTTGGGTGATGAAAATGTGATGTCAAGCTTGCACACAGTCTCCTTTGTTCTCTCACACACACTTGTGGTCTTTCACTGTGTTGTGGTCAAACCCTTAATTGAACACACACACAAACTGAATGCACAAATGTCCCACACATGCTGCTTTACTTAAACGCACACCATACACCGGTATAACGCATTTCATCAACATTCACAGTTTAACAGTAATAATTTTATCAGGAAAGCAAAGAGTATAAGGCTCTGTAGTGAATCAGTTATTGCACAGTTTTATGATTAGAGAGGAAATGAAAACAACCAGTTCCTGTTTTCAAGCCTTGTTTGTGTGTAAACTGTAAGTGAATAAGAGAAATGCATTTCCTGTCAAAAATGCGTGTGGATGCTATGTGCTGAAGGATCGCCTTGAAAATGCTGAACATTTTGACACCTGAAAGAATTATCTGCCTGAAAGTATGCTGAAGTAGAATTTCCCCATTCATTTGAATGGGGCAAACTTTCAAAATAAAGCTAAATATTGCAAAAGTATGAAGTTTAGACGAATGTCCTTGAAGAGCTGAACATTTTGCTACCTGAAAGTATGCTGAAGTAGAATTTCCCCATTCATTTGAATGGGGCAAACTTTCAAAATAAAGCTAAATATTGCAAAAGTATGAAGTTTAGACGAATGTCCTTGAAGAGCTGAACATTTTGCTACCTGAAAGTATGCTGAAGTAGAATTTCCCCATTCATTTGAATGGGGCAAACTTTCAAAATAAAGCTAAATATTGCAAAAGTATGAAGTTTAGACGAATGTCCTTGAAGAGCTGAACATTTTGCTACCTGAAAGTATGCTGAAGTATACTTTTCCCATTCATTTCAATGGGACAAGATTTTCAAAATAAAACTAAATATTTGAAAAGTATGAAGTGTAGAAAACATCTGAATAGCAGCATGAATGTCCCTGAATAGCTGAACATTCTGATAGCTGAAATAGGTCATAAGGTATGCTGAAGTAGAATTTTCCCATTCATTTGAATGGGACAAAATTTTCAAAATAAAGCTAAATATTTCAAAAGTATGAAATTCAGAAAAGTTGTGAATAGAAGCATAAATATCGAATAGGGGCTGAACATTTTGATAGCTGAAATTATGCTGAAGTAAAATTTCTGCCATTCATTTGAATGGGGTAAGATTTTCAAAATAAAGCTACATTTTCTAAATGTACGAAGTTTAGAAAAACTCTGAAGAGAAGCATGAATGTCCTTGAAGAGCTGAACATTTTCATACCTGAAAATATGCTGAAGTAGAATTTCCCAATTCATTTGAATGGGGCAAGATTTTCAAAATAAAGCTAAATATTTCAAAAGTATGAAGTTTTGAAAAGTTCTGAATGGAAGCATGAATGTCCTTGAAGAGCTGAACATTTAAATAGCTGGAAGTATGCAGAAGAAAAATTTCCCCATTCATTTGAATAGGGCAAGATTTTCAAAATAAAGCTAAATATTTCAAATGTATGAAGTGTAGAGAACTTCTGAATAATAGAATAGAATGTCCTTGAAGAGCTGAACATTTTGATAGCTGAAATAGCTGAAAGTATGCTGAAGTAGAATTTCCCCATTCATTTGAATGAGGGCAAGATTTTCAAAATAAAGCTGAATATTTAAAATGTATGAAGTTTTGAAAACTTCTGAATAGTAGTATGAATGTCCTTGAAGAGCTCAAATGGTGTATGATCTCCGAACATGTTCATACCTGAAAATATGCTGAAGTAGAATTTCCCAATTCATTTGAATGGGGCAAGATTTTCAAAATAAAGCTAAATATTTCAAATTTTCAAAATAAAGCAATATATTTCGAAAGTAGGAAGTTTACAAAAATTCTGAATAGTAGCATGAATGTCCTTGAGGAGCTGAACATTTTGATGCCTGAAATAGCTGAAAGTATGCTGAAATAGAATTTTTCCATTCATTTGAATGGGGCAAGATTTTCAAAATAAAGCTAAATATTTCAAAAGTAGTAGTAGTGGTAGCTGAACGTCTCATGAGTTGAACAGAGTTGAAATGGTGTTTCTAGCACAAGCTATGCTGCAGATATTAAGGTTCAAACTTTGTCCCATTCATTTCCAATGGGGAAATTTTTGTGCAAAAAGATGAATTTATTAAAAACTATAAATGTTACAGACAAGAAAAATACAAGCACACATGTCCTGAATAAGCTGAACAGTTTGATACCTCAATGGTTGTTCT